GCTTCTGTCATTTGAATTTAAAATTAACCAGACCACCGTTAGAGGGTAGAGTCGGTGACTGCCATGCTGTTCTACCACGAGGGGTACTGACCGGCCACGTAAGGCTCAAGCTGTAGCACGGAGAAGAGTCCAGAGTGCTTAAATGCTAGGCTGAGAATAAAGTAAAAATTGCAATTCTCTATTTTCCCCCTTTTTCATCCCCCTTTTCTAAAGTCGCTATTCCCCAAACTCATTCGATTGTCTTGTTTTAGCAAACATGTGAGAAAATGTAAGGTACTGTGAAATTTAAAGGTATTGTAAAAAATCACCACTTGCTCTCAGTAGAAGACGTGTCAATACGATTTTAAGCTGCCGGGTTTTTCTCTGCGCGTGTGGCCCTGGGGTACATTTTCTCCCCCGTTCCTGCAAATTCAGAGTCGAGGAAGACGGTGTGAGCAGGAGAGAGGGCAGTGAGGTGAGCAGTTGAAAGGCTCTAGGAAGGACACAGGCAGGCTCTGGTCCCACTCTACCCAGGTGAGGCTGGGCAGCTCGCTTTCTTGTGCCCCAGGCTCTATATTCTATCTGCACCAGGATAAAAGCCCTTGGCACACGTGTGCACGTGTGCACACACGCACGCACACACACACACACGGGGCAGTGTCACTTACCTGTGTGTAATGCTGTGACCACCTGCTGATTTCCCGAGGAAGTGGTCTGCACGTTTCTACTCAAGACCCGCACCTTCTTCCAGGTTATTTGGGCTGAGGAGACATCCCGCAGGGACCCGTGTGGCCTCACCTCCTACAGTCCCCCACTCCCTGCTCACGCAGCTTCTTCCACGAGCATTTTTCATGACACAGCTGCCTCACCCCGCCCATTCACTCAACAAATACTAATCGTTGTGCCGGGGCGGGGGGGTGGAGCAGCGACTCGAGACGATAACCTGGCCTTTGGGGAGCCCACGTGTGTGCTGGTGCACACGGACAAACCGAAACGCACGCTAGGGAGTGACCGATGCTGTACGGAACCGTGCCGCGGAGGAGAGGAGAAAGAACATCCCCACCCAACCTGCGGTGATGCTGATGTTGTGCCAGGTCAACAGGGGACAGGACAGTGACAAGAGCCACTGTAAAGTGACACTGGACTCCTTTCATTCTTCTCTGCTCATAAATCAATAGGGAGGGGGGCATAAAACTGTTTTAAGATGGTTTCAGATTTCAGGCGTCTGGCCATCAAACCCCCTGCATTTCAAGGAAAAGCTGATCAACCATATGGCCGACGGCTGGCTGTCTGTTTTTAAGAAAGACTACTAAATACGGGCAAATGTGTTTGTTTATGTGGATGCTCGGGGCCCGCGCTCATGCAAACCGTGCTCACAGAACTGTCCGTGTTCTGCCAGATTTGCCAGCTTGCCACAAACAGCCTTCCACGCCTTTTCTAACTGTTTATAAATAGCACACACACCCAGATATGCAAATCGAGGCGAGCTGTCCCTTCTGCCGCTGCAGCCGGGACAAAGGGGCCAAATCCACGAGAGCATACCGCACACTGCGGCTGTTGGGCTGTCCAATGGGTGGATTCCTCCACCGACCTGCCTTCCTTGAAGGTGGCAAGGAACAGAGGAGGAGCCTTCTCTCCGCACAGGAGAGACCGCGCTGGGTTCTCTGGATGCATTCTGCTCCCACATCCGCCTGCCCCTCCCCCTCGCCCCCCCCCCCCCCCCACCGCTTCCCAGTTTGCTGCACGCCCTGGAAGGCTCCCAGGGCCCTGCAACAGGAACGTGCTATGGCTCCCATCACACACGGGAGGAACAAGGAGCTGCCGGGACGGCATGCTAATCAGAGAGCCCCATTCACAGCCGGAGTCTCTTGATGCCTAAATTATGCTTTTCCATCACACTGTTTACAAGGAGCTGAATTCAGGTTCTTTCTCCAACAGCCCGGAGGTATTTATATGACAGAAACCATGATGACGTGTCAGCATTCTCTTTCTTCTAAAATGTTGAAATAATAGCATTTATTATGCACTCAGAAGGTGCCGGGCTCTGAGTTTTATCTCACTGAACTCTTGTGACAACCGTGTAAGATCAGTACTATACCACTCCTCAACCGAGGCACGGGAAGGCTGAATAGCCAGTCCACGGTCACAGGTTATTTCGCATTTTTTTCAAATTGTCAAAAGTAAATATTGCTGCTGTTACAAATGTTATTAAAGTGTAAACATAATTAAGATGCACTAAATAATAAAATAGCAAAAATTTTTAAATTCAGATTTATGCAAAACAGGGAAATTCTCCCTCCACTCTAACCTCTGATCCCAGCCCCTCGTCTGGGGCAACCAGTGCTACCAGTATGTTACCCAGCCCTCCAGAGCGCTGCCATGGGTGTGGAAATAAGTAGCCGCACACACAAGTGAGATACTAGACATCACCGCTGAATTCCCCCAGGGCCTTGAGTGGGCCTCGCGACTGCACCCCATCCTCCATGAGACACCCTCCCTGCCGCCTCCTACAAACCGTCAAGGTGAAGGGTCGGCTTGTCACACAAACACAGCTCCTGGCTGCCGGCTCCCCTTCCCCGCCCCGTCCCACGTGCAGCCGCGTTTTCGGCCAGCGGCCGGAAAGAGCTGGCAGTTGTCGTGGTAGACACGAGCGTGCCCCGTGAGCGATTCCTCCTCGAGCAGGGACCCAGCACACACGGACAGAACCCTTCTGTGCCGTTTTGTCCCCACGACCATATCCCGTGTTGCTTTTGCAATCACATGGGGTTAGCTGGCTTTTTAAGGTTTTCACATTCTGAACCTTCTTCTATTTCATGAGAAAGACAGGGATACGTCCTGGTGGAGACAGTCATACCATTACAGCGAGTGATACACAAACAGAGGCCCCTCATTGCCACTCTCCCCCACAGAAACAGCTGCTGCTACCCCGTCCTCCGTGGGACGCCGTGGCATCCTTCCCATGTGCATATCGATTCCAGCGCGCACATCGGGGCCTTCTTTTGAGGATGCACCTCCTCAATGGGCAACAGTCATGCTTCCCGCCGTAAGGAAAGCCCACTTCTTCAAAGCACACCGTGCCAGAGGCCTGGGGTGGGTATGGCAGAGTGAGGATACAAGGCTTTTCCCTGGGAAGTCATTATCCCGGCCCAGAATAGTCACAAAATACCTGGGCAAAGGATGGGAAACTCTCAATCCAAAAGACATGAGCAGGCACGTCAGAAAAGAAAATCACTCACTCAAACCTCACTAATAACGAAAAATGCAAATTAAGGGGCACCTAGGTGGCTCAGGTGGTTAAGCATCTGCCTTCAGCTCAGGTCATGATCCCAAGGTCTGGGATCAAGTCCCACCAAGCAGGGAGCCTGCTTCTCCCTCTGCCTCTCCCCGACCCCGCTCCTGCTCTCTCTCACTCTGCGCGTGCTCTCTCTCTCAAATAAATAAATAAATCTTTTTTATAAATGCAAATTAAAATGATACCATCTATTATTTACCCAATCGGCAAATTGCTTTGACTGGTAATACTCAGTACTGGTGAGGACTCGGTGAGGTGGCTGCCCTGAGCACAGCTGAACCGTACCAACGGAAACCATCTCTCCGAAGAAGAGTTGAAGGCGTCTGCCAAGATCAGCCACACCACCATACCCTCTCTCATCCCACCCCGAGAACAACCTGCGCTGAGATGCACACCGAGTCCTGCAAACAAGGGTCTTCGTTACCCACAATAGCACTATAAACTGTAAAACCCAAACATCCAACATTACATAAACATTTAAGGTATAATTTAAGTATAAATTGTGTTCTGAAAGAATATTTCATGGTGTGATAAAATGTTCATTTATATTTGTGGAATAAAAAAGAGATCTCAGACAGATGTGATACCCATTTTACTAAAAAAAAAAAAAAACAAAAAACAAAAAACCTATGCTGAGAAAAAGAAAAGGAATAGGCCTTAGTCAAGGGTCTCCAAGACCTTGCCCCAGGCCCGGCCCGGAGACTCGATGACTGGCCAGGAGGACTCAGCACACAGGCATACTCGGAGCTAGATTTAGCACGGTGAGAAGAAACAAAGCACAGGTGGCAACAAAGAAAGGCACAAGGTGCGGAGGACACCAGCTGGGAACCTCCGGGTCCTCTCCCTTGGAGTTATGCAGGATAGCACATGTGAAGCGCTGTCACCAGGAAGCTCGTTAGAGACCCCGCATCAGGGGTTTCACTGGGGGCTGGACACATGGGCCCCCGTGGCCTGGCGCATATGAAGGCTCCAGGCTCCTGAGAGGGAAGGGGGTGTGCAGGCACGAACCGTGCTGTCTGCACAAAGCGCTCAGGCTCAGTGAGCCGCTCTCACTAGTCAGGGTGGTGGGAACCGTCCCGACATCAAAGTTCCAGACACCAGCCAAGGGCCAAGCTTGCAAGCAGGCCTCCCAGAGAATGGCGGTCTCTGGCCTGCTGTGGTAACACTTTTCTGCACGAGGCCAAAACGTTCACAGTGCTGATGTCTGCTGGTGAGACTTATTTTCTTCTCTATCGTCTCTTATTTCCAAATGCTCCCCAATGAACATGTATTTCCTTTACGAGCGGGGAGGTGTGTTACACGCTTCTAAAAGCTCTGTTTTGCTTCTAAAAGCTCTGTTTTGCTTCTAAAAGCTCTGTTTTGCATGATGTCAATTTTCAGATTAGACACAGGGGAATTCTGATATTCACAAATGCCATAAGAAGACACGCCAGGGAGAAAGCAGAGCGGGGCTGGCGAGGATGCGGGAGAGCCACCGTGGGATGGGCAGTCCTGGGTGAAGAGCAGGGACGAAAACTCCACCTATGTCCTCAGGATTTCCAGCTTTTCCCCCAACCAAACAAGCCAGGTAGTCAGACTTCATCTCTGACATGGTTATAAGCAGGCACCATCTTGGTTTTAATGCAAAGACCTCTATTCCGTGCACCCCCCAGCAGACAGTGCAACGGCTCTTGTCAAGACAGTTTAATTTCTTTCAATGCCACTGAATTGGAAGATCATGAGATCTTACCTGTGTCTCCTTCTGATGACCCTCACCAAAGAAAGAATTTCAGAAGAATCTAAAAGGTAAAAAACAAACAAACAAAGATGTATGAACTGGAGATACATAACCCAGAACTCAATCCCTGACTCTGCGACATCATTTCCTTATGTGTAAAAGGGGAGGGAAACATGGCCTGCCTCACAATTCTAAGGGTCAGGTGAGAAAACAGATGTACGAGAATTTTAATGATAAGATGCTATTATCAGAAACCCCTCACATCATCATTCCGCAAATGCCTACTATGTGCAGGCTACTGTGTCAGGCCCGGGCAATACGGCGGTAAACAAGACAGACAGGGGCCCACAGAGCTCAGAGGGCGTGCGGCTCACTCGAAGAAATCGTGAGTAAGGTATGGAGGTGACAGGAGGCAGCCTTTTAGCAGGGGCTCTGAGAAGGCCTCTGGGACTGAGGTTTGGCTTGCAACCCCAGAACTACCACGCGAGAGCTCTGTGACCTCGGGCAAGTTGCTTCCGTTTCCCTGGGCCTCAGTTTCCTTATCCTGTAAGATAACGATCCAAATAGTAGGATCACAATCCTCCCGGGGCTGTAAAGAGAATTTAATGAGTTCATGTCTGTGACATTCTCAGAACCATGTTTGGCCACAGAAAATACTTAAACTGTGGAGATAATTTTTATAAGATAAATATATAAATTTTAGGGGCTTTGAGAAGATGTAAACGAGACCCTAATCTGTACACGGCAAGATGAGCAAAATTCTCCCTGACCAAAGACTCCTATCTCTCCCTCAGCAAGTCTAGTGAACTTTATTCCAGTGGTATTCCCAGGAAATTAAGGTTTTTGGATGCTACATCTGGGCAGTATTAAAAGTGTGCCAAATGCCCAGTAAATGACTAAGCTAAACATATTTCCAAAATAATTACATATGTTTCCAAAAACACATATAGGCTTGAAATTTTCCAAAATTTAAAAGCACAAAGCACCTTCACATATACCACCTCACTGACTGGCAAAAACCCTTCGACAGAAGCCTAACAGAGAAGGTAGGGCATTCGGCGACCCGCGAGGCCTGGCCACAGCCCGAGAGCCGGTCAGTGGGGAGAAAACAGACCGAAGCAGAGTATCCCTTTGTTAACACCGCTCCTCTCCCCCCACACCGTGACGTGCACGTACCCGCTTAGCTCCTAAAGCTTGACAGAAACCCCAACGTAGAGACTTGAAATAGCATTCGAGAATTTCCATGATGCACACACACATCTTGTTCTCTGGCTTTGAGAACTGCTTCGCTGCCCTTCGGCCGCGGAGGCAGAAACCAGACTGCGTTCCCCGGGGCCGAAAGCAGAGCGTTTGCTTCTCGGCAGGTAATCTTTGGGGTTAAACGAACAGGAGATCATTCCACAAAATTACCGTTACACTTCTCAAAAAGCAGGTGTGACTTTCATAGAAAAATCTATTCCACTTGGGAGAAAGGTCCACGAAAGCCACAAAAGGATAATACAGTCATACAACAACAATCAAATTCATCTGTCACACAGCGAAACCCCAAAGCCCTCAGGCACACAGCTGCTTTCTGAGCTGAAATTCAACTCCAACTGAGAAACAGGTCAACTCTCTAAAATATTCTTTTGCAAACATCTTAAGTAAAAATTCCTTTAGCTTGCTTGTCATTTTCCAGATGCAATACCTCTGCTGGCCTTTACTTGAATTTCCATGGCCCAGACACCGAGTCAGCCACTGTGGTGACAACACAGAGGGACATGACACAGCCATACCTTCGAGGAGCTCACACCAGGGAAGGGAGGCCACCCAATCACAGTCTTAAAGTAGCATACTCATTGCTATTACCTATTTCAGCCATGGCTCTAACTAGCTTGAATTAAAAAAAAAAAAAGAACCCAGCACACATAGCACATCCCATTCCTAGAAGGAAGCGATCAGATCTGAACAGTAAGTGAAGCTCAGAGTGTGGGGGGCAGGCAGAGGCAGTCCCTGTAGTGTGAGAGCTCATTCACAGGGGTTAACAAACGTACCACGTGGAGGCGGAGGAGGCCCCCAAGCAGAGGGGTGACCGGGGGCTTCAGGAACATCTGGGCATCTGGAGGCAGGAACAGAGGGTGGGATATCTAAAGCCTCCAAACTGAACAGAAATGCCCCAATAACTCCTCCCCAAATGGGTGGGGGGTTTAGAGGAGACTAAACGTAGCACTGTCCCAACCAAAGCACGGAGCCCTGGTGGAGCGGCAAGGAAGACACAGGGCCACCCTCAGTCGGTCTGTGACCTTGGTTAGGCCCCTTCTTTATTTTTTATTTTTTAAATTGAGGTGTAACTGACACACTACATTATGTGAATTTCGGGTGTATAACATAATGATCTGATATTTGTATATATTGCCAGTGATCACCACAATGAATCTAGTCAACATCCCTTACCACACAGTCACAAGATCTCCTTTCCTTGTGATGAGATCTTTTAAGATCTACTCTCTTAGTAGCTCTCAAATATACAAAACAGTATTATTAACTAAGGTCACCATGCCGTACCTGAGAGCCCTCGGTTAAGCCCCTGATCTTCTGGGAGCCCCAGTAAAATCACCAGAAAGACAGATGTGAAAACCCACCCGCCTTTTGCACAGAACTGCTGAGAGAGTAAAACGAGACAACGGATTTTAAACTTCTCTGTGGACCATGAAGCAAAACACAAACGTGAGAAGTCATTACCACCATCGATAACAACCACGTAAAACTGAGTTCCTCCCACCTTCTCCCGACCACGTGCACTGTGAGTGCGGGTGATTTAGCTGAGCAACCCCAGAGCCCAGGGCTTGGGGGGCCCCAGACAGCCCAGGATTTGAGTTATATCACTCCTCCGAGGGGTCAGGAAGCTCTCTGAGAGAGAGAACCAAACCGACGTATGAGACCACACTTTCTCGGATGGGCCTGAGGTCATCCCAACTCTCAGCACAGCTAAGCCACCCAGGTGTTGTCCCCCACTAAACTCAGAAGCTGGTGTCTGTACATTTCTACAGCAGAGGCCAAAGAGCATTCAATGTCACATGATGATACTAAGTATCCCAGGCCTAAACCACAGAAATCACACAAAGCTGGAATCCCCAAAGAATGTATTCACAGAAGAGATTCAGTGAATTCTGCTTCAAATGCATCCACTATCACCTGTAGTGCTCAGTCCTCTGCCTCCTTCTGACTGACTCCACCGATGCTCTGACCTTACCCAAGCTTCTACTAATAGCACAGAAAACGATACACCTGCGTGCTCCTCACAGCGGAGCACCAGACAGACCACCAACACTTCTCCCGGGGCGTTCCCCAAAATCACGCTGCAGTCCCAGTAAATGCAAGTAAACAACTCCTCAGTTGCCATGTTCTTTCTCTACTCCCCAGGAAGATTGGTTGAGATGATGAGTCTTGAAGTCAGAACTAAAAGAGGCCACAAGCATCATCTAACCCAACCCTCCTGCCATAGCACAGCACCCCAACACCCAGAAAATGGCAGAACAGGAGAGCCAAAGCCAAAACCCACTCGCCCAACCTTGGGCCCAGAACTCCTGCAGCAATGCTGCTCTAGGAAGGAAGAAAAAGCAAGGCCCGGAAAAAGCCACCGATCCATACTAAGGCCATTCAAGAGTTTACTTAGCACCTCTGTAGGCACTTTCCACCAACTGTACAAGCATGAATATGTGAAGAGTCATTTCAGCTGCATTTCGACTTCCTGCCTGTATTCATAAAGCACAAACTGCTCTGTGGTCCAAGTGCACACAGTGTACCCCCTCAGCATAATGCTCACCCTATTTATCCTGTAGCCACCTGTCCATCCACGGCCCCAGACCTCACACAGACGAGAGCAGGGATCACCTCTCTACCCCCAAAGCTCAGCCTATAAGACACCCAATAAGCGATGAATGAACTAAGGTAACTGCTCAAACATTTTAGGCTTGCATTAACAAAACTGATTTACTAAGTTTTGTTGATGCAGATTTCGTACCACACAGCTTAAACCTTAACTTGTAGATTTAGCCTTTGTTCTCCTAGATTTCATCTGCGAAGTATTTAGTGAGCACCTAACACATGCTGGACATTGCCGAGTGCAGATGGCCTCGCAGTGCCTGGAACCAGAGTCCTTGTTCAGATAGAGCTTGGAGCTGGACAGGAAGCAGAGGAAGACGGCACGAGGTTTGGTGGGAGAGCTGAGAAGAATGAACCCTGGCCACTGAGGGAGGCGCTCACACGGTCCGGCTGGCGTGCAGATAACACACACTCCCTACAGCGTGCGATCGCGTCCCCTCGGAGGCTAACGAAGCCGCAGTGTGACGACCCCCCCGTGTGCCAGACGTCACCGCAGAGCCGGGTTCAGGAGAAGAAACCAAAGAAACAAACAAAGCTCCAGGACTGTACGTGAATACAGATCGAAACCAGCTTTTTTAGGGGCAATGCTCCAATCAGGAAATCCCCTGGCTACACTGGCTTGAAATTCAAGGTACTCTAGAGGCTGATATTCAAGTGATGAATTAACCCTACCGGTTCAAAACAAAGAGATCTTTGATTCAAGGGCTAAAGATGAATTACCTTTGGCAAATTTATTAGCTCTGAGTATTTCCACTAAGAAAATTATGAAAATTACCGAGCGCTTACCATGTGCTAGGAATAGGCTTCAAGCTACATGCTTTATAGACACGTTTGTATTTAAACCTCAGGACAATCCTGGGAGATGACAATGACCCCTCTCATCCCATTTCACAGATGAAGAAAGTAAGGTTTACACAAGTTTTAATACTTGCCCCAAATTACACAGTTGGCAAAACCCAAGCAGCCCGCCTCCACAGCCCTGCACGAAGCGGTGGTATTTACAAGCTGTCCGGCGGAGAGCCCGTACAGCCGGCTACAAGAAATACCAACAGAGCACTTCAGACCCAAGATCATCTTGTGCCAGTCAAACCAGACTTGCTGTCATTCTGCACAACTAACCGCCAAATGATTCCGTGAAGAAAAAGTAGAATGCGTAGACACTGGAATAAACTGAAGAAAGGACAGACATTTGCAGGA